ATAATAATAATAATAATAATAATAATAATAATAATAATAATAATAATGAGGAGGAGCTGTGGTGTTGGATGCAACTGGGATGGGATCTTTGAAGAGGCGACGGTGTGTGATGGCGAAAATGAACGAGCAGCATGCGAAAGGTGGCGGTGGTGGAAAATGGCAGAACTCGAAAAGCAGTCATCGTTCACAAACTTTCCTTTGAAAGCACGAGGGAGTCAAAACAAGGCCGCTGAATCTTGAGGGAAAGAAGGGGGGAGCCTAGCAGATGGAGGGGTGTGTGTGTGTGCAAGGAAGCAGCGATACAAGCAGCAGAAGTTACACTCACCCTACAATATTTATGGCCCCCCACCCCCAGCATAACATATCCCTTTCAGTTTCCAAAGCTGCTTTGGGGGAAAGGAAGGAAGAGATGTGTGTCAAGAAGTGTTGTGATTCCTACCACCTTCCCTCCCCTATCTTAAAAAACAAGAGAAGTGGGAAGCCAATGGTCTGCTTGGGAATATTGAGAGGGCCTGAATAATTTCTCATAACATTTGCTGGCAACTCTCTCTCTCTTTCTACCCCCCCCCCCCCCCCCCCCCCCCCCTTTGCACTTCTTCCTAAGCCAACAAAAGGGAGAGTCACCTAGGTCAAGAACACAGAGCTGGGGCTTAAGGAGCCCTGGCTTGTTTACTAGAGGAATCATTTACTTGTTCAGAGGTGGCCATCATAATTCATAGCAACACAAAAGTGGTGATGGTGGGGGTGATTTTCTAAGGAAGTGTGTGAGAGAGTGAGTGGAGGAATCATTACTTGTATGTACAATTGTGGCAAAAAAATAATAAAATGTGTTGTTTTTTCTAAGGAGTGAAGGTGTATGTGTGTGAGAGAGAGACTTAATGTATTCTTGAAGGCTTTCATAGCCGAAATCACTGGGTTGTTGTGAGTTTTCCGGCCATGTTTCAGAAGTATTCTCTCCTGACCTCACCACCTCTGAGGATGCCTGCCATAGATTCGGGCAAAACAACAGGAGAGTGGAACATGGCCTTACAGCCCGGAAAACTCACAACAACCCAGAACCCTGACTAGTTTGGTGGAGGCAGACCTTGTTCAGTGGTGCCCATAATAAGCAACATCAAGATGGTGATGGTGAGTGTGATTTTCCTAAGAAAGGAGCAAGGTAAGTGGGTGAAGGGGTGCCTATGAGAGAGAGGAATCATTCATTACACGTTCAGAGGGCGCCATAATAGTTGGTGATAGCAACATCAGGATATAGTGATTTTTCTTATAGTGGATGAAGGAAGGGGTGTGTGAGGGAGAGTGGAGGGACCGTGAGAAATGATGACTTGTTCAGTGATAATAATAAGAGCAATATTAGGACGTTGGTGATAGTGAGAAGGGTTTTTCCAAAGAGGGAAGGTGAGTGAAGAAGTGGAGTGGGGGGGATCATGACTTTGTTTAGTGGAGGAATGATGACTTGTTCAGTGGTGGTCTTAATAATAAGAGCTATATCAGGATGTTGATGATAGTAAGAAGGATTTCTCCAAGGAAGGAAGGTGGATGAAGAAGGTGAGTGGAGGGACCATGACTTTGTTTAGTGGAGGAATTATTATGACTTGTTCAGTGGAGTATTAATAGTCATAGCTCATAGCACTATCAAGATGGTGAGGGTGAGTTGTCTAAGGAGGGAAAGCGTTGTGTTGTGGAGAGAGTAAAGGGGCTTCAAGGCGAGGGAGACCCTCACCCCTTCTTTCTTTCCTCCTCTATTATTAATCATAGCTCATAGCACTATCAAGAGAAAGGGTGAGTTTTCTAAGGAGGGAAAGCGGGTGTTGTGTGGAGTTGTGGGGAGAGTAAAGGGGCTTCAAGACGAGGGAGACCCCCACTCTCTTCTTTCTTTTCCTCTCTATTATTAATCATATCTCATAGCACTATTAAGAGGGTGAGGGTGAGTTTTCTAAGGAGGGAAAGCGGGTGTTGTGTTGTGGAGAGAGCAAAGGGGCTTCAAGACGAGGGAGACCCCCACCCTCCTTCTTTCTTTCCCTCTCTATTATTAGTCATAGCTCATAGCACTATCAAGAGAAAGGGTGAGCTTACTAAGGAGGGAAAGCGGGTGTTGTGTTTGTTGTGGGGAGAGTGAAGGGATTGCAAAGCAAGGGAGACCCCCCCCCCACCCGCTTCCTTCTTCCCCTCACCCTCCTTCCCTTCCCCTCCCTCCCTCCCCCTCCCGCCCCACACATACCACAAAGCCGTAGGAGCAAGGAGAGAATATAGGGAAGAAATCATATTCACCTTCCCGCCTCATGCCCACTTTGAGGCACTTCTTGAGGCGGCAGTATTGGCACTGGTTGCGGTGGTGCTGGTCGATGGGACAGTTCCGGTTGGCGCGGCAAGTGTACGTTAAGTTCCTGCGGACGCTCCGCTTGAAGAAACTTTTGCAGCCCTCGCAGGTGAACTGCCCGTAGTGCTTCCCGCTGGACTTGTCCCCGCAGACCACGCACTCGATGTGCTGCTGCTGCTGTCCCTGGCCTTGCTGTCCCTGGCCTTGGCCGGAGCCCTGCTGGGGCTGCCCCTTGTCTCCCGGCGTGGAGGGCGCGCCCGGCTGGTTGGGGGTCTGGGGCGTGTGGGGCGCCGCCGAGGCCCCTTGCTGCTGCGGGTCCCGCCCGGGCTGGGCCGCTCCCGCCGGGCCGCCCCCGGCCACCTCCTCCTGCGCATCTCGCCAGCTGCTAACTACCATTGCCATATCTCGGGCCCACGGAGGAGGCAGGGAAAACAAGACCGGGGTGGGGGGTGGGATGATTAGGGAGGAGGGGGGGTGCTCGCCTGCCTGCCTTCCTTCCTGCCTGCCTGCCTTCCTTGCTTCCTTCCTTCCTGCCGGGGAAGAGGCCGGGAGGAGGGGGTAGGGAGAGGAGGGGGCCGGGGGGGGGGGGTGGGTGGGGAGGGGGCCCCCTTCCTGCCTGGATGGAGGGGTGGATGGGTGGGGGACAGAGGCCAAGATGGGGGGGGGGGCTCCTCTCGCTGCTGCGGCTGCTGCTTCTCCTCGCTGCTTCTCCCTCCGCCGCGCTCTTTCTGCTCCTTTGCCCTGCCCTGCCCCCGCCTGCCCTCTTTCCTTCCTTCCTTCCTCCCTTCTTCCTCTTCTTCCTTCCCTCCTTCTTTAAAAAGGGGGCGACGCTTTCGAGGCAGGGGGCAGAAAAGTCATGGAATTCCAAAGGTCTTCCTTTTCCCCCTCTCCCCTCCCTTATATATTTTAACCCTCTCCCCTCCGTTAGCTATCCTTCCTCCTCCTCTCCTTTCTTTCTTTCTTTCTCTTTCTCTCTCTTTCCCTTCCTTCCTTCTTCCTCTCTCAAGTTGCCCAAGCAGCCGGGGCCGAGCGGGATGGAGGGGGACGCATCCAGGGAAGGAGGGAAGGGAAGCGGGAAGGAAGGGAAGGAAGGAAAGGGGAAAAGGAGGAGGAGGAGGCGGAGGAGGAGGAGGTAGGGGATCTCTCTCGCTCTCTGTCTCCCCGGAGGTTGCTCTGGAGAGTCCGGCTGGCCCCAAGCGGAAAGCGGGGCGAAGGGAAACCGTGCTCGGCCCTCGCTCCGGATGGAAACGCTGCTCTTCCTGCCGCTTTCGCCTCCGTCGCCGCCTCCGCTGCCGTTGTGTCCGGGTCCCTTCCGGAGGCTCCGGGCTCGCCTTCCTCCGGTGCCGCTCAAGGCGCGCGGCTGTCCGGGGGCCAAGTCCCAAGCAGCGCCGAGCAGCCGCCAGCCATTCAGGAGAAGGAGAAGCCGAAGGAGGAAGAAGAGGAAGAAGGCGCTGGGATCACCGCCGAGTTGGAGAGACGCTTCCCGGCGCTGCGGCTGCCTCCGATTCCAACCAAGGCGGCTCTTCTGTTGTTGTTCTGCTGCTGCTGGAAGAGAAGGAGGAGGAGGAGGAGGAGGAGGAGAGTCCCTCCGCCGCCGCCGCTGCTGCTGCTTCCTGCCGCCGCCTCGTTGTCCTCCTTTTCTCTCTCCTTCCCTCAATCTCTCCGGGAAGGATACAAAGGGGAAGCCGAAGAAGTCCAGGCCGGAAGACGGAGGAGGCTCCTTCCCCTCCAAGCGCCGAAGAAGCAGCCTCCGCCGCCGCAGAAAGCGAACATGGAGAAAGGAGCGAATGTCACACTCTCGCGCGCGCCGAGGGGAGGGAAAGAGCCAAAGGAGAGAGAGAGAGAGAGAGAGGAGAGAGAGCACAGAGAGCGAGAGAGAGAGAGAGAGATCCAAAGTAGGTCGAATAAATAAACCCGCTTCGCCTTCCTCCTTCTTCTTCTTCTTCTTCGCCTCTCGCCTCCTTGTCTTCTTCTCCTCCTTCGAGCCGGGTGACAAGAAGCACTGGAGAGCTCCCAAGAAAGAAAACCGCTCTTTCTTCCTTCCTTTCTTTTTTTTTAAAGAAAAGCACCACTTCAAAAAAAAAAAAATCTTCAACAGCCAAAAAAAAAAAAAAAAAATCCCTCCCCGAATGTTTTTTTAAAGTGTCAAAAAAAATTGAAGATAGAATATATATATATATATTTGTTTTCTCCTTGCGATCTTTCTTTCTTTTTTTTTCTGTCTTCTTTCTTCTTCTTTTTTTTTCAAAGTTTCCCCTCTCTCGCGGAGGAAAGAAAGAAAGACTTGGGAGAGAAAGAGGATAGAGGGGGAAAAAAAGAGAGGAAAGAAGATAAAGGGAGGTAACACACACAAAAAAAACACCGAAAGAAAGAAAGAAAAGAAAGAAGACTTCAACTAATAGAATATGCAAGAAAGGAGAGAGAGAAAGAAAGAATGAGAAGAGGGAGAGGGAGAGAGAGAGGGAGAGGGGGAGAGAGAGAGAGAGAACCAAAAAATGAATGCGTTTCAACGGGAAGACTACCAGAGCAATGTTTCCGAAAAGGGGATCTGCGCGGATGTCTGTATATAGTGAACTTTGACACTACTATTGAAACTGACACGTTTCTATGGAGATTGCTGCCTTATATGGAGCTCATGTCAAGGAGCCAAGAGAGGGGCTGCTGGCAACTGATAATCAAA